TACAGCAAAATCCTTAATTTTGAGAGCTGGTATATATTTTATACCGATGCCCCTCTAAGATATCCCCCCAGGTAGCTGACAATTGTTCATATGCATCTATAGAGATAGGTGCTTGAATATAGTTCTATAAGTCTCAAGATAAAAACTTTTAAAATTTTGCTAGAAATTTAAAATTTTAAAAATAAAATTTATGTTTTTATACACTTTAAAGATGCAACCCAGCTGAACATATTTATGTAAAATATGGATAAAAAGCTTTTGAAATTGATCTAAATTCAATATTATTTTATGAAAAAAATTTAGCAAATATAACACTGCATGTGGAAACCGCATCATGCAGTAACTGAAGTAGTATAATGTTACAAGGAGATCAGCTGAAAAATAAAAACTTGAAAAATGAAACACTACGACTCAGCTGAAAAAGTATGTTGCATTTTTTAAGTTATTATATTTTACGCTTTAGATAATGTATAAAAAAGAGCATGCTACATGCTATGATATAAAGAACACCCCCTGGGCACACTTTCTGTTATTGGCCATTTTAAGAGGGCCCCCCCCCCTTTTTTTTTTTTTTTTTTTTTTTTTGTAAATATAGGTTGTAACATATCCTTTTGTAAATATAGGTTGTAAAATATCATTTTGTTCAGGATGAAGCGCCATTAAATGATTTTATTATTTAATACACCTCTTATTTCGATTTTCAGTTCCTTTGGCCTCCTAGGGACCCCTTTTCAACTTTTGGATAAATTCTGGTTTGCATCTAAAACTGGCCTTAGAAATATTTTTCTTCTTTCACCAACTGTGAAAATTTATTTTGAAAACAAGCTATTTATATCCTAACACAGCCAGAAAATTTCTCTTGTGTTCCCTAGTCTCTCATCTGAAATTAACATAGACCCTAAAGAATAAAAGCATGCTTTCAAATCAACAGTTTTCCCATTCCCTTAACAGATGGACCTAAAATGCATTTCTGTTTCTCATATTTTTAAGTGAGCTTTCCCTTTGTGGATAAAATCACGCATAATGATATAATAATGATAATAATGTGGATACGTATTATTAACACATAATGATATAATAATGTGGATAAATGAAAGAGGTGATTGGCAACTAATTTGTGACCCCTTAATGACAAATTAGTTGCCAATCACCTCTTTTCATTTTCGCTGCATTCCAGAATTTTGGAAAACACGAAGCATCGGGTGTCTTTTGAGACAATCATGCCACATTTAACCCCTACAATTGTGTAATGTTTTAACACCAGACGACAATTTTGAAATCGATGAGTCTGTCTCCTGGTAAAAAGTGAAGTGCTGAAATTAAAATTTTAACTAAACAGAGATGAATGAGAAACTCGAGTCGAATAAATAAAGCTGGTATAAAGCATAAAAAGAAACTAATATACTTGTATTCAGTCCTAGCACAGGGTCAGTAAACTTCCCATCCCCACCATAAACATAATATTGAATCCAAAAAAACTTCTAAATTAATCATAAAAAATTATTAAATCCCAAACTATTAAAACAAAGAAATTCTGTCATCTCACAGAATAGAAAAGGCGAAGACTGGTGCTGCCATCTATTGGCATGGTACCCTCAGTATGGCACCAGTATATATTATATGCTGGTCTTAAAATCGCATAAATATTGCCATCTATTGGTGTGGTACCCTCAGTATGGGTATCAGTATATATTATATGCTGGTCTTAAAATCGTATAAATAATCTTCTGTTAATTATCACTTCTGACTGAAATGCAATAAATATATAAGATTCAGCATGTGTATGTCATATATTTGCAGATTTTGAATTTTTCCCCTCTCTCCAATAGAATTTATGAATTTCAGACATGATACCTTGGAACGAGGTATATTAATTTTCTAACTGCAAAACAAGCATTCATAGGGTAGTGCTGCCATTTAGAATCAAAAGTATGTACTAGAATCTTACGATTACAGCTTTTGATGTAGCATTTTTAAGGAGGTTAAAAAATTAACAAACATCTGGTATATTTTATATACTGATGCCCTTTAAAGTGTTAAGAGCTGAACGAAAAATATTACTAATAAGTGAGAAAATAAAAGTTGAACTATTAAGAATCTGACCAATTTTGTAATTAATGGAAAGATTAAATCATATTATGGAAGTGCTGTTATGATTATTTCTAATTACGGAATGCGTTTAATGGTAACAAGAGGTATTTCTTAGTTGCTTATTAAGTAATGTTCATGCACTATGCATTTTTTTCTTTTTTATAATTTGCGATACATTTTTAATAAAAATATTTATTAAAATATGTTTTACAAAACTTTTCTTATTATATACTAAAGCTTCATAAACATACATATACAAGTTGAGAATAAAAATAAACATAATATTTATCAAAATTCAACATTTGGAATAGATGGTTTAGTTTATTTGATAACGGCAAAGCATGCGAGGGCTATATACCTAAGGAGAAGGATGCTTTTGCAGAGAACTTTCTAAAGGAAACTGGCTCATACCCACATTACACTTGGAGAAAACCACAAAAATACCAATGCAACCAACCTGTTAGAACCACCAGCGTTTGGTGACTTTATCACTCCACCGTTGATGGGCCATTTGGAACAGATAACTAAAAAATTGTATAAATGCCCAAGTTTATTTTAATTAAACTTTCAGGTAAATTTACAGTAATGTACTGTTGATTTGTCAGAAGGCTGGTAACTGCAAATTTGAGCTATTTACTTTTATGTATGTGTGTGTGTGCATGCAAGATAAAAATATGTAAATCAAAATCATAATTTAAATTAACGGAAACCCTTTAATTCTCCCTCTATTTCCTAAAAATCCTAATAACTTTTTTGGATTGCATCATTTCTAGATCATTCCATCTTGCATGGCCTGCCCAATGCTGATGATGTAACTCTAATAACTTAAACCTTTCTAACGTAAACAAAAAAACCAACCTTTCTCACAACAGACTGCCATATTGGATAAATGCGCAGTTAGATTCCAGCTCTGTTGCTGCTTGGATGCTATTTCTTTTCACTGTGCTTTGTTGTGCTCCTAACTATGTCACTATTTAAAATGTGATATTCTATATAAAATTATGGTATGACTATTGTACTCATGATCATATGTAATGAAAAATATGATTTTGATAAGTTCATGTCTAGCAATAAAGATTATATTCAGTCAGCTACTAGTCTCTCCTTCGAGTATCATCTTTCTAATTATACAGCCGCTGCTTCAAGTTATTATCAAATATATATATATATATATATATTGCTCTGTTTTAGCAGCAAAGTAAAAGGAATAACCTTTTCTGAAAAATTATGCACATATATCATTTGAAATTCTCCAAAGTTAAATATTTTTCTTCATAGTATTTCCTAATAATTTCCTACATATGGTGCTGTGTATTTTTTCTTGATGGTATATTCTGCGTATTTCATTGAATTCATCACGAGTAGTGATGGCCTCGCATTTTATTGAAAGTTTTTATAACTTATTTATTAAAAATGTATTTATAAAATACCTCAGAAACACTGTTTCATTGGCTGATAGGCATGTTCTGATCTCACAAACAGGGTCACCATTTGTTAAATGTTCGAACTTTTCATAGTATAGAGGGCGCTGTTGCGCCAAAAGGATTCTTCTGTGTGTCTACATTATGTAACTGTGGTTCGCCGTTGCGATGTGTCTGTGTTGCTGTGATATATTTTGGTGTTTTCATTTAATATAAATGAAAGATATCATCATGAATTTTTGTATACCAAATCAAGATCAAAATTAGACTGATGCAAACACATCGAAACAAAAATAACGTTCGAACAAGAATCGTCAAGTGTTATTACTCGCCTTTCGAACTTTACATTCGTATCGTTAATCGCTTCATAATACTAGATAAGTTTCATTTTTAGGTAGTGGAAATTGTTAATTCAAGTTATAATTTTTCATACATTAATCATAATTCCTTGTCTACAGCCAAAACTGTTTAATGTAAATCTTTTTAAGTTCCTTTGCCTTTATGCAAAATCAGGTCATTCTGCCAAATATTAAATATCTCCTTTTTACTCTTGCATATATCATGCTTTCAAAATTTGTTTCCCAGAATACTTGTTTTCTGAAAAATTAATTATTTGATATTGGTTTCCATTAAGAAGAATTTTCTGCCATGTTAAATTACGAAGCCTTTCAGAATGTTCCTTTCATCAGAAAAGACCTTCTGCTATTTAAAATAATTTTAACAATCTTGTAATCATAACATTTCACCTTTTGATCAGTTACATAGCTGCTCGGATTCTTTACAAGTTCAATTTGTGGGTCATTTTTCCAAAAATAAGTAAAACACATTCTTCAATTCTCAAAAATTCCACCTCAGATTTTAATTCTTATGGAATTTACAGCATGTCAGTGTGGTTTGGTTTTACTGAAATCACATCAAAGCACACTAGGGCTATCTGCCTAACAGGAGGGATGCCTTCATGGAGGACGTTCTTAGGCAAACTGGCTCGTATACATGTTACACAAGAGAAAAACCATGAAACGGCCATGCAACAGTCCATTCACCTGGAATCGAGCACAGGTCGGAACTATCAGTGTTAAAAAACTTTACTGCTTGGCCTGTGGTGGACCCCATATCCATATGATTTGACATATATTGACGAAATTAAAAGTGCATTATGGTATATCAGTCGTTGGATTGAAAAGGAGAAGCAAAGAAATCTTTTATATCTAATCAGAGTTAGACACTTAAACACAGTTTTAGCTTCTGTGAAAGTTATTTGCAATTTCTTTTAAATTGTCTTTTAAAATATATATACTATGAATACTATATAGGTATCTCAACAGTGTTACTTTTGTAATTTAACTGAACAATAAAAAATAGCAGATAAAATTTCTAATACTAATAAAATTTACATGGAAAACTTATAGTACAAATATGATTTATAAAATAATGTCACTGTCACTTAGCAAATATTTTGCAACTAAGCTTTATACAAAAAGTAATTACCTCTATCCTATTTAAAACAGAAGGATTAAGCATATACAACCCAGCATTTATTTTGTTTGAGACAAATTCTTGAGGCTTCTCAACAAATCGTTGTATTTTCCCCTGTTCATCATATACTACAACACCATATTTAGCAGGTTCTTCAACACGAGTAACCTATAAAAAATAAAAACCTAGAATAAAATTATGATTTTTGGAAGAAATATTAATCATAAAATTTAGTATCTAAGGCAAGGGATCTCAACCATGGATGGATTTCACAGTTTCAGGGAGGAGGTTAGGTTAGGTTAGGTTATTCAACTACAGCAAAGCCTCAAGGGCTATCTGCCTAAGGGGAGGGATGCCTTCGTGGAGGACTTTCTAATGGAAACTAGCTCGTATACACGTTACACATGGGGAAAACCACGAAAACACCCATGCAGCCAGCCCGTTCGTGAGATTCGAACCTCGGACCGAATTACCAGTGTTCAGCGACTTTACCGTTCGGCTGCTGGTGATCCCAGTTTCAGGGAGGAATGCAGTACACCTTTTATTAAGCTGTTAAGTATTTAGTTTTAGTCTGTAAATGTAAAAAATTACTTTTAATTGTCTTTGGTACTTACCCACATTTTCTATACTTTCTGTTATTTCTGTTACTTTCTGTTATAACACCTTAAAAAGTTATCTAAATCTTAATACACTGAAATACGTTTAGCACGAAAACGTTGAAGACAAAATATTGGTTAACACGAAGTAATACAATGATCCCAACAAACTACAATGTATTTTCATGCATTTTTTCTCTTAACTTGAAAATATTTCCCTTCTGAGAATGAGCAAAATACGGAAAATACCAGCCAAGCATGTGAAATTTAAGAGGATTGTGAAATGAAAGAGAGGTGGTATCATATGTTTCGTAGAAAGGAGGCTAACTTGCCTTTGAAATGTCCTCAGAATAGCTTGTGACATGAGCCAATTTCGTTTATCTTTATTTTTTCACTCTAAGCTTTCTTCTATTTTAACTAATTTTTTTTACGAGCACAATGGTGAAGAGCTCAGGGGTAAAGCAAACTGCTATTTTGCTTAAAATGAAGATGGAGCTTCTTATCAAAGGATCAAAAAGGATCAAAAACAGAAGACGAAAACAGAAATCTGTAAAGATTTTGGTATTGCTAACTCTATATTACCACAATAATTAAAAAAAGAAAGCAAATCATGAAAATGTTTGAATGAAGTTAAGCAAAAACGGATGAGAACAGCCAAGCATGAGAATTTAGAGATGGCTTTACTTGTTTGGTTCAAATAAGCGAGATCTCAGAATGCTCCCATATCAGGACTTTTAATGCTAGAAAAAAGCAATGAAATTTTAAACAAATGGGTATTACATTTTCTGCAAATCCAGAATGATTGGAATGTTTCGAGAAAGAAATGGCCTAGTACTAAAAAATGTTTGTGGTGAAACTAATCAAGTTTTACACACTATGACAGCGAATTGGTTTCAGTCTACGTTGCCTTCAATACTTGATGAATATGAAGTGAAAGATGTCTTCAATGTGGACAATAGCTTCATTGACTTTTATCAAATACATGCATATGTACATATGTATGTAAAAAAAAAAATGTTCTCTAATAAGTTTAATTTTGTTGAATATATATATATATATATATATATATATTTGCAATATCCTTCTTTAATACAAAAAATATCTCAGTTTCATGCTCAATGATTTTCATTGAAATAGTTATACATACATATATATATAATCAATTAATCAATATTGTTTAGGAAATAAATTATTATATATATATATATTCAGTTTAGGAAAGGATCTAGTAATGTAAAATGTGAAAGTGCATGAGGCAAAACAGGTTGAGAACCATTGATCTATGATGTTTATAGAATACAATAAAATTTTTACCACAATCGTTCCTTCTCGACCATGATGTTTATGGAATGCAACCATGTCTTTAAAAGGAAAATCACAAATAATGTCGCTATTCAGAACAAAAAATGGTTCTTCACCTTCTAAAATTTTTCTGGCTAATGCAAGTGGTCCTGCTGTACCTAAAGGTGAATGCTCTTGAGATATACTAATTTTGATTCCTAACTAGGGAGAAAAATATCAAATTTTATTAATAAATAAAAACATCTGCACATATATAAGTATAAAATTCAACATCAGTCTTCAAAATATAAAGAACATGCAGATTGACTTAAATTCACTTTATACAGCAAGAATCAAGTTACTGAATAATTTGTAATATGATTCTGGTGTAAAATATATTAAACATTTAATTAGATATTCTAAATTTTATGTTCTTTGGCTTATTTACTTTTTTATTTTTCTACACTTTTATACTGAGAAAATCCCAAGTAGGAAAGGAAAACTTATATTTATCAAAGTACTTTTAAATATGATGAATAAAAAAGTTATTATTGATATATGTAGTACTTGTTTGAATAAATTTAGTAATATACCATATATTGAAATAAAATAAAATCGAATCCAAATATTAACAGATTAAACTTTGCTTGAATCTTCATATAAAAATCTGCAAATGCCTACAGAAGATTGGGATAACCTAGGTCAAATGAAATTTAATAAGAAAAAGAACAACAACAAGTAGAAAGAAAAAAACATAATTCAGATGAAATTTAATAAGAAAAACTATTTTGAAAATCATTAAGAGTAGGGAAATGGAATTCGCATAGTTTAAATTTCATTTATTGTTGGGAAATATTTTCCTTTGTAAAGGCTAAAAATTAAAAACCGAGAGATTCAGTGATCTACCAGAGGATATAATAAAAAACAGGACAATTTGGCAACTTGTAATTGTATTTTTATTGGTATTTTGAATTCTTTTAATATATATATATAAATATATATATTTTATGTATATTACCTTCATTACATAATAACACAACAGCGTATTATATGCACATAATTTCACATATTTTCATAGAAATATAGCTAATGCTAGAAGTGACAGATATGACATTTAGCAGTACAGAGACAAGCAAGTCAAAGTGTATAGATTATGATATTGAAATTTTAGAATAAGTCAGCAAAGTTATAGTTTCATTTTACTGATTAGTTATAAGTCTTCATTTTCAAATTTAATAATATTGGCTGAGAGTTTCTGTAATTACAAACATCACTGATGTTACACAAGAACCATATGAAAGTGATTAATTTTGAAATGGGATAGTTCAAAAAGATTAATTACAAGCTTATTACTATTATTATGTTTAGGATAGAAAAGAAAAATAACCAAATTAAAAGAGAGACTCAAGGGCATGACAAATTAAAGTTACAATTTTTTATCTTACATATTTATGAAATATATTTATACAAGATGAAATCCTAAGTAATATAGACAGCAAAACATAAGAACAGAACAATACAAGCATGTCGACAATAACCCCCAAAATATGCAACTATCCCCATTCCGAAACAATTTTTTGGTCATGTTTGCTCAGTACAATTATATATACATTTATTAATTTTAGGCATCGTTATTTAAGAAATAAATTATCTTTTGACTGTGCATATATCTTATAAGAAAAATATTATTCATCTAGCAAAAGAAAACTTTGATATTTACTCATAAATATTTATTTACAAGATGTTGTTTCCTTAATATAGTCTTATATATTCATCCTTTCTCAAATATTAAGAAACTTACATATATTTTGAAGTTATGTTGTGCTCTTAATGATCAATGTATAATTATCTAAGATTTACCTTTGCTTCTTCTTTCTTGATTACGTCTTCTAACATTTGAGCTCGATAACTGACTGCTAAAATTACATGATCTACTCCAGCCTAATATCAAACATATATATAAAAGATAAGCAGTTTGTACCCAAATAACATTTGAATAAACATTTTTAAAAATTTATAGCTGTAATAAATCTAAAGGTATTTCAAAAACAGAAATTTTTTAATGTAGTATCACTTTGAATTTCAACTGCAATTTTTCAAATTTTTAAGACATAAAATTAGAGTGCAGGCTATATCTTAAAACATAAATTTTAGCATCTTATTTCTACCGATCTTTCCTTTCCCAACAATTAGATTAATGTAATTAGTCTTTTTAACAAGCTTTAATAATTAAATTAATTTGTATATTGTTACTATTATAATGTGCATGTAGTAATTAAATTAATCTGCATATAATAATTAGATTAATCTATATGTATTAATCTAAGTAATCCATATGGGCTAACCTTTGGAATATGGTAACAGGTAGTTTGGCGACATTTTGGTAAGGCGATAAAGGTTACTAGCTAGGACTCGTCATGATTAAGCACTTTTGTTCCATAAAAGTTCTAGCATAAACGTAATTCGGCTAGCAGATTGTTGGAAAAAAATGTTGAGTTAATAAAAAAAAAAAAAAATGCCTTTACTTTGTGAAAACAAAGTAGCGTCCAAAACAAAACTAGCAGGTTGCTGTAGCAGAGTTGGTCGCCAAATTTTAGCCAAAAAATCGCCAAGTTACCATAATCCAAAGATTAACCTCCGTATGATTAAAATGTAATATTACTAATTTAAATGACACTGAAAATGATATGCTCTGGTTGAATAGCGAAAATGTGCTAAAAATTAAACATGCTCAAAATGATAATAAGCCTGAAGATTTTCTGTATAATAACTTGCTAATTATATTATTATTACTATAATTATATATTTATTAATATAATTATATTTATAAATATAATTAGTTAGCTAGTCTGTAATATATAAATATATTACAAACTGTTTATGTAAATAAATTTTTTTCTTATTTTTCATTATACAGTACAAAATCTGTAATCCGGACTCGTCGGGACTTCAGCGTTTCCGGATTATAGATCATCAATTTAAATCTGGTAAGATGGCATGCAGAAATTACACAATTAAAAATATGAAACCATAATTTATGAAATAAAGAGCAATTATGATCTAAAGGATATCAAAAAAAATACAAAAAAAAAAAAAAAAAAAAAAAAAAAAAAAAAAAACAAAAAAAAAAAAAAAAAAAAAAAAAAAAAAAAAAAAAAAAAAATGAACAAAAAAAAAAAAAAAAAAAAAAAAAGGAAAAAAAAAACTTAAGAAAAAAAAAAAAAAAAAAAAAAAAAAAAAAAAAAAAAAAAAAAAAAAAAAAAAAAAAAAAAAAAAAAAAAAAAAAGAATGAAAAGAAAACTTATTTGTTTATTTGTTTATTTTATTAAACATTTCTTTCAATGTAAGTTGTTTAAGTTGCTTTGTTTTTTGTGCTAAACGCGCATGCGTAAAGCACACACACAAAAAAAAGTTTCTGGCTTTGAGGTCTGGATTATAGATCATTCCAGATAATGGACGTCCGAATTACAGACTTTTTGCTGTATATGATAAAATTATTACTTTCTTAGTCTTTCCATTTCAAATTCCTGCTGGGCTAAAACTCAAAGGCAGGCCTTTGTTATTTATTTATTTTGACTTTAATTTTAAAATCTTTTGTGGCTTAAATTCAAAGTAATATAATAAGTACCATTAATAAATATAAAAATAAATTTATCAATGCAGGCAATTTATTTTAGATATCTTTATATACATAAAAAAAGAATAGCACATTAGTTATGTAGTCAGATTTAAAAAAATTATAATGCTTAATAACAAAATAATCATGTGTTAACCATAACAGCAAAACTTTAATGCAGCGAGACATAACTCCAAAGAAACTACAGTCAGCAATTATTTTTCAGCTCATTTGAGTAAATTCTAGTTTAATATATTCATCCGTTTATGATTAAATTATACAAAGTTATTTTGCTTAAGCATTTTTACAATGTTTACAACATGATTACATATTACTAGTTTCTGAACAGTTTTACATGAATTTTGTTTTACTGTTTCATAAAATTGAGAGGCATTAATTGGAGGATAATTGTCCACAGTGAGCTTCTTAAATGATTAAAATTTTATCCCTAAAATTTTATCTTTAATGTTCAAGAATATATACAAAATCACTTCTATAATTTGAATATGTATTTTCTATATTATTTATTGTAGAATCTAACATTTGGTCCTCCGACTCAAATTTACAATATTAATTTATCATGATGTTAAATTGTTGCACAGTAGATTTAAAATTATTTTCCAGACTTGCAAATGCAAGTTTCCTAAAACAAAATAACTTGCATATACAGTACAAATTCTTTAATCCGTACTCATCGGGACTTCGGCGGTTCCAGATTAGGGGTTTTTCCGGATTATAGATCATCAATTTAAATCTGGTAAAACTATTTATGAAGTTTCACCCAGCAATGAAACAAAATCTAATATTCTAATTTTTTCCGAATCAAAAAGTCTAACAATTGTGGGAAATAATTTTAAATCTTTGTGGTTGGAAGCATAATAAGATATGGACATAAATGTGCATTTAAATCTAATTTATGCAATTGTGAAAACGAATATAGTGAAAAAACATTACAAATAATTGCTTCAGTTTTTGTCCTTGCACATGCAAATTTTTTGTCGTACAATGTTTTGATCATTTGCGACGGCATGCAGAAATTATGAAATTAAAAATATGAAATTGTAATTTATGAAATAAAGAGCAATCATGATCTAAGAGGTATCAAAATTTACAAAAAAAAAAGGGGGGGCTTAATATTTGTTTATTTCATTAAACATTTCTTTTAATGCAAGTTGTTTAAGTTGCTTCATTTTATGTGCTAATGCTTTCTCTTTAATTCTACAAACAGACATAATTTCTTGTTCAGTTACAAAGTTCCGCTGTTCAAGTTCTGTAATTGCTGTGCGGAGAATACCGAACTTGTCAATCAAATTTTTTTCGTTTTCACTAACCTCTCTGTCACTTTCTTCATGCCCTTATCCATTTTTTGCAGCAATTTCGCTTTTTGTTTGATGGACATCGAAACATGCTTTCGCTTTGTAGATCCTTTGGTAGCTCCAGAATCAGAAACTCTTTTTGACATAATCGAAAGTTCAAGCTTACTTTTTATAAAATTGATCTAACAGTCTGCAAAAAATAATAAGCTGGATCCAATTAGAAGATTAAGGAACAACGCAATCTACAACATTAACTGAAATAGATAATTAGATAATTTTAGCCTAGCTTATACCGTCCGTTCTACATTAAACGCGCATGCATAAACTTATTATGCACATGCGTAAACGCATATGCACATGCATAAACATATTATGTGCATGCATGCATAAACGCTAAGTATGTGCAGAAAGTTTGTAGCTTTGAGATCCAGATTATAGATCATTCCGGATTTTAGACGTCCGGATTCAAGACTTTGTACTGTAGTCTATCTGCTTCAAATGAAGAAATGTCTTTATGACTGACTTTCTCAGAAAAACTGGCTTTTATTCATATTTCAAATGGGAAATGAAATTAACAAATTTGCAGCCCGTTCACCATAATATGAACTTAAGTCAAACAACCAGTGTTTAGAGATCTTATTCATTTGTCCACTTACCTTGCATCTTCTGCAATGCACAGTTCCTGCATTACTTTCATACTCAAAACTTAATAGAAGAGACTTCTAATAATCTGTCAAATGAGATTATGATTAAAATTAAAGTTGTGGTACTTTCTAATTATTCACCCAACCCTGAAAAGAATTTACTAGGCATCACACTATAGCATCAAAATAGGCAAATTTGGAATTTGTTTTATTATCTAGTTCATATTTTGTCAGAGACTAAAGAATTTTTGATTAACAAACTCGATTTCAAAGCGAGGAATGGCAACACTGTACGAAAAAATATTTTTATCTCCGTGTTAGGGTGTATATCGGAAATTCTAAAGATTTGCTCATTTTAAAATTATTTTGCAATATTGCTGTTGAATTGAATTTTGTGGTTTCAGTGCAAAGAACATGAATTTTAATAAATAAAGTAACACATAAAATGTTTAAAAAAAAAGACCCTTTGGGCGTAATGTAAAATCTGAAAGCATTCAGATTTTATTTATTTACTTTTTTTTTCCTCTTGTAAGAAAAAGTTGAGGGGCTTCGGCATTTGCCAGGAAATGAAAAAGAAAGTGTTGCCTTTCTTCAGAAATATGACATTTTTTAAACAGTTAAGAGAATACAGATTAAGAGAATTCACATTCCATAAAATCTGTAAGCAATAAAATTTTATGGATCAAAATTTGATTTTCTGATTTTTTTTTAAGGGAAAGCAAATGTACAAGGAAAAAAACAAAAATAAGTGCACTACCAAATTTGCACAATTTTCTGATGTTTAAGCAAAAACAGATTGCTGTGTACATGGGCAAAACAACACAAAAATAAAAGGTAAATATTATGGATGCTTCTTAAATTCTTAATGCTCTGCTATTTTTGGGTGTTATCTCTCACATTTTAGCTTGACAAAAAATTAATTGCTAACAGATGGATTTCTTTTCAGAGTTAGGCAGATAATCAGATAGTACCAATCATGATTAAGTTTGTGAATAAGGAAAATTAGATTATATGTATCCCTTAAGCATGCAGTACAGATGAAATTTTTTCGGTTAAGCTCCAAGAACTCGTGTTTCTTCAGAAACGAAATATACATTTCATGAAATATAACAAGAAAATGATGGAAACAGGAAAAAAAAAAATTTTCAAGAAAATTAAAAGCACCACCTTACCTCAACAAGAGCTTCAACTTGATGCAACATCATAGGCTTGTTGCAAAATTCCACCAATGGTTTGGGTTTGGTAAGAGTTAACGGCCGAAGTCTGGTACCATAACCACCGACCAATATAAGAGCCTTCATTTTCTTTCTGATAGCTAGCAAAATTAAGATATATACAAACTCCTTATTTCATACTGCACTTGAATATAAATTCAATTCTGCGATATAAAGTACTAAAAGGTATAAATTGGTTAAGAACAAGACTAAAAAAGTTTACACACAAAATACATAATAAGAAATTTGCTTTATAAATGCAATCTTTAAAATTGGGTCCTTGATAACACATATGTGCTTCATACGAATATAAACCGTTATTATTATGGTTCAATAAAGGTTAAGCTTGTAATTATGCAGTAGCATGTTGGTCTAAAAACAGTCTTAAAAAAAGAAAACTATTTAATAGCTTATAGCTTGAGCACATTTTCAAATCCCATGTAGCAAAAAACAACCCAACAGACCATCAGAAATATATACATATATATATATATTTTTTTTTAGTTTCATTTAAGCTTTTAAACAATAAGAGTTTAAGGGAGGAAAACATTTAATTATCAATGCAAATTCTTATTTTAAAACTGACTATGGTTTACCTTCCATTTTATTCCTATTAACTTTTCAGGTGGCATTTGTAAAGACTGCATAGATAAAAATTGTTCACTTCCCTCTTCAGTATGAATAACTACCAAAAGTTTAACCTAAGAACTTATGCTTCATAAGGTAAGATTTTTAACCTTACGTTACTTGTGCCGGACTTCTGAGGCCCAATCAATTTGTTAAAGCTCTGTAAATCCTACCACTTAATACTGAAGTGCAAACTAAATGACTAAAATTAGTTTACACTAAATTATCTTAAATTATGTTGTTAGTAAATGCTTAATATGATGTTTAATGATCTGTATAAAATATAAATCTATAAACGGGCCTCGCAGGTACGACGCTAGCACCTACGTACGTACAATCAGCATGAGTAACGCCGGGTTAACTTGTTTTAAATCAGATACTAAAGAAATTACTGTATTATGAGCTTTTTAATTTACAGAATTCCTTTTGTAATATAAACTTAACTTTTGGAGATTCAATTTATTAAAGTATCTACATTTTTTTTTTTTATAAAAAAGTAATTTTGAAATATCACAGAACAAATGGGGATAGGACACACTTTTGATTAAGCAAAAAATAAAAAGAAAATAACTGAATTTGGATGCTTTTGAAACATTAATTAGTTTTTATAAAATATGGTGGAAACGTTGAATATTCCTAAACAATAAGTTATATAAATCTGATAATTTGTGTCTGACATTTTTAAAGCATAAAACTATAATTTCAGAAGATTATGAAGTATTTCTAGATGTAATTTCGAATGTGCAAATTTTGAAATAAACTCTTGACATATAATGAAAATTTTTAAGCAAATGTGAACCTTAACAGTGTTCCCATTAAGGTTATCTGATCAGAGCAGGAATTTTTAATCAAATCTAATAGCTGAACTCGCAAAAGCAACAATTTTGACAAGTTATTTTAATAATCGGGATATTATATACATATTCGTTAAACTGCATATTTCAGAAAATGATTTCCAAATCTAAAATACTGCAGGATTTTAAATTTCGAATTAAAGAGTGAAAAATACCTAGTAGAATCACGCAAATTAGAAATTAATGAGAATCACTACTGAACAACCGGTATTTTAAAATAGTTTCTAAAACAACCGGTATTTTGAAATAATTTCAAAAGTAATTAACCGCGCAGAAAAAAAAACTTATTCACGCAAACTAACCGAATAAATAAAAGTATTAAAATATGCAAAACTACAATTAACTGGTACAAAAAAACAAATCAAAATTCTAAAATCTTAATTTAAACCACGTCGACTTACCGCTACGTCAACAGCATGTAAACACCAAAGCATGACAGACGCCACGTCATGTTTTATGTTGCTAATATTTTCTTACAAAATTCTACTGAAAATAAAATGAGGGATTCATCGATTCACGACCTTTTTAAATAGTATTTCATTTTTTAATTCACCTCCTTTTTAAATAGTATTTCATTTTTAAATTAATCTCACAAATATTTTCGTATTTGTAAGTGTGATTCTCGAAGAAATTTTATTTTAAAATTTGCAAATCATATTTAAAAATAAACTTTTAAACTTCTTCTCCTTAAATAATTTTTCTCCAATAAAAATTTTTACTATTAATTTTTATTCATATTCTAAAATAATAACTTTTCGTTTAAAAAATAAATAACTCTAGCTGGAGGGCCTTGCATTTACCGCCCGACTTTTCAAAGTTCCGATGGTGTCATGTCAGTATTTGAGCTATGTTTGTCGCCATATGCTGTAACTACACTAGTGGGGTTTTTATTTCATTGTAAATGAGTTCTGTTTAAGTTATTAATTCGATTTCTTTTTAATATTACTATACATCTAGTTTAACAATGGTGAAAAGGAAAAACAGAGTTGTGTATGACTCTAGCAGTGATGACAGCGATAGCCCTGATGTTGATTCTGGTGAATCCCCAAGTAGAGCAGATAAAGAGAACACGGACAGTAATAAGCAAGAATCCTCAAAACGTTCTGATTCGGATTCAGAAACATCAGAAAGTGATGATGATTGGACTGTGGATGGTAAAGGTGGTAAGAAGAAAAAGAAAACGAAAAAAACTGTTCCATCTAAAAAGTCTCAAGATGAATCTTCAGGAAGCGACGATGATGCTCAAAGCTCAGAACCCGAAGAAGGTGAAGTTTCCGATTCAGATAATGAGTCTGGAGAAGCTTCAGACAGTGATGATGAATTTAATGATGGTTATGATGAAAATCTAATGGGTGATGAGGAGGATAAAGCTCGCCTCATGCAAATGACAGAGAAAGAAAGAGAACAGGAAATTTACAATCGTGTAGAGAAGCGTGAAGTGCTAAAAACTAGGTTTGAGATTGAAAAGAAACTCCGCCTTGCTAAGAAAAAACAACAGAAGATGAAAGCAAAAAAAGAAGAAATGAAGCAAAAGACAGATGCTAGTTCCCGGAGTAAAGAGCGACGGCGTACTGTTGAGGAAAAGAAAGATAAATTGGATAAAAAAGCCCAAGCCATAAAAGATTTAAGAGAACAGAGAGAGAAAAAACGAAAGCTTGCAGAATTACAACAACAGAAGTCTGAAGCTGATGATCAAAAAGATGAAGAAGATATTGGTTCTGATGAAAAGGATTCCGAGCAACCTCAGAAGAAACTGAAAGTAAGTGATATTTATTCAGATGATGATGATGATGATGCCAGTGGTAATGAGCGAGATAATCAAAGTGAAGCTTCCTATCACTCAAGAAGTGAAGATGAAGATGAAATTCCAAATAAAAAATCAGAATATGTTGGTACAAAAGAAGAACTTTCAAAAATTCGGCTATCTAGGTATAAGCTAGAAAGATGGGTTCATGCACCATTCTTTACTAAAACTGTAACAGGCTGTTTTGTGAGAATTGGAATAGGTTCTAATGAAGGACGACCAGTTTACAGGGTTGCTGAAATTGTTGATGTTGTTGAAACAGCAAAGATTTATCAGCTAGGTAATACCAGAACTAATAAAGGATTGAGATTAAAACATGGTATGCAAGATCGTGTTTTCCGATTAGAATTTGTATCTAATTCAGATTTTACTGATTCAGAATTTCTTAAATGGAAAGAAACTCTAATGCTTGATGGCATATCGTTACCCACTTTAGATGATATAGATCGTAAGATTAAAGACATACAAGTAGCTCTGAATTATCAATATAAAGAAGATGATGTAGAAACAATTGTTAAAGAAAAAGAACGATTTAAAAAGAATCCCCACAACTATGCAATGAAAAAAACTCAGCTTCTTAAGAATAAAGAAATGGCAGAAATTAATGGGGATGAGGAAGAAATTCAGAAATGGCAAGCAGAACTGGAGCGGCTTGAAGAACGTGCTAAAGAATTAGATAAGATGCGAACTAGTACCATCAGTGGAATAAGCTATATTAATGTGCGTAATCGACAAAAAAATATCATAGAAGCTGAAAAGGCCATCCTTGAAGCAGCAAACGAGAAAGAAACTGGAGATGACCCATTTACTAGAAGACGTTGTGCTCCTCAATTAGTTACTAAGAGTAGAGAGCCAACTGTCTCTACTACAGCTGTGCTTATGGAATTGGTAAAGCAAAAAGAATTAGAGCGCAAGAAAAAAATTGAAGAAGAAAAAAAGCAAAAAGAACTGGAAAAGCAAAAGGCAAATACAAACAACTCGTCTGCAGCTAATCCTCAAGATGAGGATTTGTTCAGTGCTCATGATTTTGACATAAAAATTGATTTGCAAATGCCAAACATTTCTTTATCAACTCAAGTATCGCGGTCACAAGCAACTCCACCTAGTGCTCCAAAACGTTCTCTGAACCTTGAAGAATACAAAAAAATGAGGGGACTTATTTGATATATTTTAGTGTAGTATACTCTGTTAAGAATCATGAGTCATTTTTGTACAGTTTGTAGTTAAATGAACTTTTATTACAAATGCTAGTTATTCTAATGAAACATTTAATTCGATTTAAGTAAAAAATCCTTACTACTGAACTTTAACTCATTATTTAAGATTAGTATTGTTGTCATGTTCAAATTAAATTATGCAAAGACTGCTAGAGTTCCTCTGTGAAAAGACATTGTTTTCTAATTTAAGGTCATGAAAATGCTTACATTTTCTAGTTTTATAGGATAATTTATCATTGGAATCTTTGAATAAAAACATGATACTCAAATATGCATTGTGAACAGGTAAGGTAAAGGCCATCATGAAACAGTGTACAGTGCTGCAAGTTTTCCATCATCTCATGAAATTTTATTTTTTTTGTTGAAGAGTTTCTATTTGCTTGGAAACTGCCCCCCCCCCACTTTTTTTTATTTCATGATCATGTGCAACTTAATATGTAGTATTTATATATGAAGTGCTGTTATGACTTTAGAAAATATTGCAGATTAGGATTGTTTGGGAGTAGCTGGTGCAGTTTAAAAAAATGGAAAAAAACTATGCAAGTAATAAATGTGCTAGTGATATATAACGGTAATAGTATTAAGAAAAAATACGATCTATTTTTCTTTCTATCTTGACCTAATCATGGAATGTTTGATGATGCTATAAGTATATTTAGGTAGTAAGTATCAATTACTTATGTGTTAAATTTGTGTTTTAACATGCTTTCATTTTGTAGAAATATCCATTCTTGTAATTATGAATACATTTAAGGTTTTATTATTGCATTCATATTTATTCAATTAAAATTGGTTTATATGCTATTAAAAAGGTTAGGAAAATCATTATTTACATTAAGCCTGTATTATGTTCAGATGATGTTCATTAATCTTAATTTAATTATGCCAAGTATTTTGTCTTGCTATGTTTTAAAAGATTAATAAACAGATTATATGGCTTAAAAATTTTTCACATGACCAAATATGTGTAATATTTTATCTTACATAAAAAATATTGGCTAATCTTTGGAATATGGTAACAGGTAGTTTGGCGACATTTTGGCAAGGCGATAAAGGTTACTATCTAGGACTTTAGCAGTATACATGGATAAAGTCAAGAGTGTGTGCAGTGCCATTTTTATGCAATTCTGGGATTTTTTTTAAGTGAAAATAGGTCAACGTGTACATGGATACCGTGTATGTGCAATTCTTAAAAACGCGGCAAGCAGTTTGCAATTCTGCACTTTCTCCAAATTTCGCACGTAATCTTCATCATGATTAAGCACTTTTGTTCCTTAAAAGTTCTAGCATACGCCTAATTCGGCTAGCACATTGTTGGAAAAAAATGTTGAGTTAAATTAAAAAAAAAAAAAAATTGCCTTTACTTCGTGAAAACAAAGTGGCATCCAAACAAAAACTAGCAGGTTGCTGCTGCAGGGTTGGTCGCCGAATTTTCGCCAAAAAATCGACAAGTTACCATAATCCAAAGATTAACCAATTAATCATTTACGCCTCTTAATTTGGCAAAAGAGATGGGTGACTCTTCACTTCAGGTAACCATGTAGTTAGTAATTGTAAAGTATTTGAAAAATTGTGTGCAAAAAGTGATACTATATCTATTAAGTACATCAAAATTATGTAATACTATAAATTCTGAGAAAAAAATTATCAAAATGTTAGCTAGAGAAAAGTTAACACTTTTTTGAAAATTTAGATATTTGTCTTATAATCAATCCATTATATGATTGTTAGTTGGCCTAATTTCAATGTAGTATTGAAAGAGTGTGAAGTATATGAATTTTCAGATTATGATGTAGAGTTATCTCTTCATCACTGAACTAGGAAAAGCAAAATTATTCCAAGCGTCATAATATTTGTTCAATTTATATATATATGTGTAAAATATAAAAAATATGATGCCTTTGCGGCTCATTTCGGATACCCGGCTCTTGGCTGAATTTGGCGAGTTTTTGGCCGCCATCTTGGATTTCAGAAATGCGCCAAAAAGCGCATTTCGAAATCCAAGATGGCGGCCAAATATTGTTTTCCGTATCCGAGGGAAGTAGACAGGGAAAACAATTCGGAACTGCCAAAAGGAAAAAAAATTGAACTTACCCTTGTTCATGTTGACATGATGACGCCTGACATTCCCTATTTCTTCAATGTTACAACATAGTTAATGTTATATTACTAAGCCCGATATGATAACTTACTAATTGTAATTCAGTCTAAAGTAATAGAACAAGAAATTTTAATTAACGTTACTTTAACGAGTGAAATGTTTTGCATGAAACGCTATAGGGGCGAAGAAGTATACTTATGCTCAAACTGTAAACAATCGATTTAAAAAAAAGCTTTCAACCTAAAAATTTGACTTTTGCATGTAATTTCGGCATTTATTATTTGGGCATTTAAATTAATATGAATTTATATTAAATTAATTATGTTGCATGCGTAGTGTATGATAGTTAAACATGATATATATGGATGAGAAATGAAAAATTAGAACATTTATTAAGGTATTTGTAATATGCCGAGTTGTGATTGCAAAAAGAGGAACATTTCCTTAAAGGGTGGGTCGCCTTTTATTTGCATACGCTCCGATCAAGTAGGAGACACCGAATTTACATACATTAATTTATATTTACATTAATAATTTATCATTTATTTAATTATCCGTTTTAATTCTAAAAATAAAATGAAAAGCAAAAGGGAATTTAAATTTTTTTTATTGAAACTCCAATTACGAACATATATGTAAAAAATGAAAAGCAAAAGGGAAAACATAAAAAATAATAATTAATCTTCTTATTATATTTAATTATCCATATATATGTAAGAAATGAAAAGCAAAGGGAAAAAACATATAAAAATAATAATTAATTACATTATTATTTATTTATAATTATCGGTTTTAATTCGCATTTAACATTTTATTTATTTATAATTATCGGTTTTAATTCGCATTTAACATTATTATTTATTTATAATTATCGGTTTTAATTCGCATTTAACACTATTATTTATTTACCTACGCTCCCATCAAGTAGGAGACAAACTTCTCAACTTCTAACCACGCAGCAGAAGCGAAGAAAAATGGTCACATGACCTTCAATATGAGCACGCAGAAGTTTTCCCTAAATCCCTCCCGATACTCCGGATTCTACAGTAACCTAAACGTCAGCAGAAAGTTGTTGGGGTGGGTAGCCGGGTTTGGCGGAAATCGCCACCATCGGCCGCCGTAGCGAGGTCGCCAAGAGCCGGTTATCCGAAAACTGCCGCCTTTGCTCTATGCGAACAGGCAACCTCTAATTAACTGTCCACAATTTCAGGATCTTCCCCCTAGACCAGTACTTTTGAGAACATCCGAACGTGTTACATAACTGCTGCTGTAAATAAAGAGTTCACGCCATTTTTCAACATATTGCTTTTCTCCGTCTGCTACTGTAAGACGCTTTCGCTGCCACTTTTCCCATTTGTCTTCTTTGTTTGAATAGTATAACGCAGCAAACTTAAAGTTAATCGCAATTTAGTCTAAATTACTATCGCATATGTAATCTTGAGGAATCTAAAAGAATAATGATTTACCATTTGAACTGAATAAACATGTGGAACCAAAAAAGCTAACCTCCTCTGTGTCATCATTTCATGCCAAGCGTTATGTGTGTGCTCGACTGCCAAAATATGACATATATATATATACACACACGATATAAATGTGCAATTTCAGCAAAATGCTGAGAAATTACATAGAATTGCAGTAATAACCATCTCAAACTTTTAGTTTGCCGTCTTGGAAAAATCTTCTGCTAGCTGAGGCATGACTAAAAAAAATTGATAAAAAATGCTAAGTTCTACACAAATAGTTTATGATCATTTCCTGTAAAAGTTTCAGGACTTAATATGTATCCACACATTTCATCACATCCTGAAGTATCATCAATGAAGAAAATTTTGTATTTCGGCCTAGAATTCTAAGCACAGAAAATATATAGTACAGTCAAAAGTCTTTAATCCAGACTCGTCGAAACTCCTGCGATTCCGGATTATAGATCATCAATTTAAATCTGGTATGATGGCATGCAGAAATTATAAAATTAAAAATATGAAACTATAATTTATGAAATAAAAAGCAATTATGATCTAAAAGGTATAAAAATTAACAAAAAAAAATGCTTTATATTTATTTGTTTACTTTATTAAACATTTCTTTCAACGTGCGCATGCGTAAAGCATACATTACACGTAGTCAAAATTCAACATAGATATTTGTGATATTTAGGAATTTAGACGAAGTACATCGAGATGAATACTACATTCAGGACTGAATAAAATAAAAACCTCTGCCCTGAAGGTAAGGATAGTGCTGACAGATCAACTTCCATTTCATTGCACGCCGCCACGTTTCCCAATGAAATAACATAAAAAAGGAAATACCGACCTACCATATTTAGAAATTTCTGGGTTTTCAGTCTATGGCACACCAAATTCCTTAACAACATCCAAAAATACTGTCGTCACTATATAAATTCACAAAAAATAAGAGTAAAAAATATCCTCAGTAGTGCCGGACTCTTCAATGGCATTTCTTGCGAAAAACCCTGAATGATCTTTACATTCCACCATATGCATTTCCTTCGTACGAACAGGACACTTATAATGACCACTACATAAACCTTCATTTGCACACCAGTCAATTAATGCTTTCTTTCCCTTTCACTCCAAATTGTACAGAAACTTCACATTAACCTTGTAACATACCACCATTTTACAATATACAGCACAAAATAAGCAACCCACTTCCTAACTGATAATCCAACTCAGAAATAAGCCCTTACAAATATTGTCCCATTAGTCAAATTCACCGCAATCATGTCATAATAGGGTTTCCATAACATTCAACTACTCAGGTTACCGTAAATGAAACAATTTGGCGATAATCTAAGAGACACCCTAAAAATATAGGCTAACCTATTTAAATTCAAAGTACATTAAGCAATTTTTTTATGAAGACACACTTATCAGTTTAATTTTTTTGAAAAAATCTGAATGATAATCATATTATTAATTTAGAGATGCTAGTTATGGACTTTGAAATAATAAACCATGGATTATTTAATCATTTATAGGCAAGAAATATTGTTGAAAATGTCATGTTATTTAAGGCCCTATAACATCATTTGCCTATTTTAAGAAAAATGTTGTCCCTTTGCTTTCATAGTATACTTTTAAAAATAGACAGTGATGAAATTTTTTTATCGTTTTGAATCTTTTATTTTCCTTTCCCCCCCCATCAGTACTAGTTTGGTTAATTGCTGAAGTGTTAAGCATAAAAGTTCTTTACTTTTATGTATTGATCCTTGTGGGAATGTTAAAAGCTGAGGCTATTAAAATTATAATGATATCGTTCATATTTTTTGCATCTTTTGATGTAGGACTGCTGGAGAGTCTGCATTTTATTTTACAGTATTTACGAAACTTATTATAAAAGATGGCTGTCTTTGAATATAATAATAAAAAGCTGAATAAGATTAGTTGCATCTAATTCTACATCAAGTAGTTCAGCAATGAATCAATATCAGTAAGTATTAATTTCTATTTAAGAAAGGATTTATCAGAAATACAAACAAATCGAATATCTAGCCTTCTAAGCTAGAAAAGAACAAGAACATTCTTTTTGCATAGGTGTCAATTCTCCCTATTTTTTATTTTTACCTTTTATTAAGAAAAATGTGTCCTAACAACAAATGAAACTTGTATTATGCAAATTGCATCCTTCTTCCCTATTGATATTCAGCATAATCTTTAGAATCTTTCATTTAAATTATATTTGATTGAAATTATCTTAAATGGTGTTTTAGTAAGTTTATCCTAATAACAATATGTACATTAATTATTAATTTTTTCATCATATTTAACAGTACTTAGATAAATGAAAGCTCAATATTTTCTCAGTATTGAGAAAA